CATGCAAACCCGCTCCAAAGCCGGTGTCTTCTGCCCCAAACAAATTCTCAACCTTAACACTTCTGTCCCCATCTCTCCTTTACCCCCAACCTACCGTAGTGCACTAAGAGATCCAAACTGGCATGCTGCTATGTGTGATGAATTTAATGCCTTGATAAAGAATGACACATGGGAATTAGTACCCCCCTCCCCCTCTCAAAACCTTATCACCGGTAAATGGCTTTTTAGACACAAATTTGGCCCCTCAGGTGAGTTATCCAGGTACAAGGCCCGTTGGGTGGTCCGCGGTTTCAACCAACGTTTTGGCGTTGATTATGACGAGACCTTCAGCCCCGTTGTCAAGCCTGCTACTGTTCGTATCGTCCTCAGCCTTGCTCTGTCTCGTGGATGGCCCATTCACCAACTTGATGTCAAAAATGTGTTCCTCCATGGTCAGCTACAGGAGACCGTTTATGCCAGCCAGCCTTCTGGGTTTCAGGATCCCACTCGCCCTCATTATGTTTGCAAACTCAAGAAGGCTCTTTATGGTCTTAAGCAGGCCCCACGCTTTTGGTTTCACAGGTTTGCGGGTTTCATACAGACTATTGGCTTCCGAGGATGCAAGGCCGACACTTTCCTATTCACCTTCTCTCAGCCTATTGGGACGGCATACCTGCTCCTATATGTTGATGACATTGTACTCACAGCATCCTCCCCGGCACTGCTTCAGAGTCTCATTCGGAAGCTCAAGGCTGAATTCTCTATGACAGACATGGGCGACCTACATTTTTTCCTTGGGATCAATGTCCAGCGCACAGCCACCGGACTCTTTCTCCACCAGACTCAGTTTACTCATGATATCCTTGAGCGGGCAGGGATGGTCTCTTGCCGCCCCATCTCTACCCCAGTAGACACGAAGGCAAAACTATCTAGCACCGCGGGTTCGGCACTCTCCGACCTGTCCTTTTACAGGTCCATTGTCGGTGCACTGCAGTACCTCACCTTCACTCGTCCTGATATCACATATGCAGTTCAGCAGCTCTGTCTACACCTCCATGCACCACGCGATTCACATCTTACTGCCATGAAGCGAGTTCTTCGCTATCTTAGTGACACTGCCACCCACGGGATCCATCTGACACGATCCGCCACCGATTATTTACAGGCTTACTCCGATGCTGATTGGGCTGGCTGCCCCGACACCAGACGCTCCACATCCGGTTACTGTGTTTTTCTAGGCGACAACCTCGTCTCTACCAGAAGGTTTGCGGTCCGGTGTTGGAGAGCAAGATCGCGGCTCCGTCTTATAGCTCGGCAACGGTTACGACAACGTCTCTGGACGACCTAAGCCTTAGAAGAAGAACTCGACGTTGTTGGTGAGGCAGCGCGGTGTGAGCAGAAAACACTGTTACAATCACGACAGATAGATAGTAGTTTAGGCCACGTTGTAGTCGGCACCAAGCACGTCGAGGTTGACATACACTTTGTACGCGATAAAGTGGCGCTTGGCCAGATCAAAGTCCTCCATGTTCCTTCATAAAAGGACTGCCCTCTCTCTTATTTCTGGACTTCAGAGAAAGCCTGGGTATCCGACCCCCAACACATCCGACGTAGCCGGGAGCATGTTAAATATATTAAATATATTTAATATTATTGTATTATGATTTGTTTCCATACTTGTATAGCTTCCCTAGAATACCTCTCCTACCATAACTAGGATTGAGATGTTGTATATATATACATGTACTCCTCACATTATTAATCAAGGAAAATACAATTCTTCACTCTCAATAAAGTTGGGTGGCAATTAAATGCTTCTCTAGACGTTGTTGCTAGTTTTCGTTAAGGCCTGCTAGAGTTGGACAGGGTGAAGGGTTATATTTATATTTATATGCATAAGCTGTTGTTCGGCAACAAACTCCTTCCACACAATAGAAATAGGAAAAAAGTGATCGAAATTTATATGATTACTCAACCTCATTATTATGAGCCATTTTGAAAAATGCAAAAAATTAAATAGGTGAGAGTTTGACTCAGAATTGGTGTGATGATGTGTCATGTGTGTGGTCCCAAAATAAACCGTGCGTAGGGTTTTTAGGAAAGGTATTACGTAGTATTAGGATTTTTGGTTGGGGAAAAATAGTTTTCCAGAAAAATATTTTGCAGAGAAAAAAAAAATGAGGAAAATTATTCCCCATCACATTTTTCATTGTTTGTCAGAAAGAAACTAATTTTAATTATTACGGACTAATTTTTAAAATTGATTTTTAAAAAATTATTTTGGGACAATCTAAAAAATATTTTAGGAGGATGAGAGGGACTTGGCGAGGTTTAATCAGGGTTGTGAATGCAAATACCAGCGGGTAATGTGCATGGATTGATTAATTTTTTTGGTATCAGGATTAGACTTTATTAATTTTTTTTGGCACCACATTTGCATGTTTTACCTTCGCAGAGTTAAACTTTATTCAATTTTTTTTCTTATTTTCATTAGTCATTTAATAAAATAATATAATCATATCATCATTAGATCTGTAGATTTTTTGATATAGTTTTTCAATATGTAATGTTTATTTTTTAGTTAAATACTATTTTTTATATAAAATAATGTTCTACACCATTTTCCATATAAATGATTTGAAATTAATTTCAGTCAAATATCGTAATCCAAAACAGACAATATAAAAAAGAAATTATTTCCATTGTACCCTATTTCAAATTAAATTGCATGTTTACTATTTACAAGATCGATCTTTATTCACTTTTTTTCTCTATTTTCGTTAGTCATTTGATAAAATAAATAAACATATGCATATCACCACTAGTTCACTTCATAGAAGTGATACTCCCTCCGCCCTAAAACGATCTTCTCCGTTCAGTTTACGAGATTTGATTGAAATTATTTTCAATTTAGTTTATTAGATTATAGGTGTAAAATTAAAAAATAAAAATTATATATTTTAAATCTACATGAGAAGAAAGAAATTATTTCCATTTTATAATATTTTTCATTGTCCCCTATCACAATTTTCTTTGTTTGGTAGAAAGAAATTAATTTCCACTGTAAATTTTTATAATTGACACTGTATTTAAAAAATTATTTTGGGACAATTTTAAAAAAAATATTCTTAGAGGATGAGGGACTTGGCGAGGTTTCATTCCATAAGGTTGTGAGTGCAAATACCAAGGGGTGATAAATGTGAATGGGTTATGTATGCAGAATTCTACAATTGAGAACACTTTGAAATAAACCCATTGTAAATAAAGGCGAACACTCATTATTGATTTGTAAACATTAATTATTATTATTATTTGAAACATGAAAAGGAGAAACCAATTCAATTACTTCTCAACTAAAATCTTCAGAATTGCTTCTATAACTTACAATGATATAACCATAACACTCGATGAAGACGACACTAGCTAGGGGAGACAAATCATTACCACCACTGAACGGGTCCTAATCCACCCACATCAAGCATTCCCTACAATGTTTCACACCGTACCGCCAAGGACAATTAAGTAATTAACCACATTAAATAGTTCTCAAACACTACTTTTGTGGGACTTATTGTAAATAGTCCAATGTCCCCAAACCCTTGTCTCCAACTTCATGTCCCACCAGTTTAATTGTGACACATAACCCACCACCGATGTATATATGCCCCATAGCCTACCCTCAAAGTGAGTTTGTGTTAAACAAGGAGCAGAGTGGGTTATGTGTCACAATTTAACACGTGAGACATGGAGTTTGGACAGGGGTTGGGGACAGAGGATCCCGTGCCAAAGAGAGAGTGTGTACCGTAATTAACATTGGTGCAAATGGCTTGGATGCTTTGTCTTGGTTGAGAGGTATTGGAGGGTAGCTAACAGTGTTAACTTGGAACCGAATCTGCAGACATTATTAGTAATAATAATAAGAACACAACGTGTTAGTCATGATAGTCATAAATCATAATGTAGAAATAATAACAATAACAACAACAACAACAACAACAACAATAATAATAATAATAATAAAAGTGAGATTACACAAGCACACACTCCCTCCGGTCTATTGTGGTGTTCAGTCTTGCATGAACATGTAGTTTAAGAGACGTAATCGTTTACAAAAGTAATGAAATGGTCTAAAATTAGTAAAATGCTGGGGGAAATAAAGAGAAGGGAGATAAAAGAAAAGGGAAGATAATCATTGCCCTTCGGTACTTTATCGTGTGACCCTGTCTCCAATAATATAATGGAAATAAGAACACAAATATGGATGATGCATCATTCCAAAAAGAAAAGAGGGAGTGTGACGTATAACACTAACCGCATTTTCATCATCATAGACAAAATCTTCATTGTCGTTCCAGAACCACCTGCCTCGGTTTCTAAATTAATTGGGAGAAGAAAAAAACAGTGATCAAAACAGGAAGATAAATATAGCATATGATTTTAAAATATTTATGTACTTAATCAATCAAGTATTTGTTGCATCAGAATGGTCATTATTTCACACATAAAGGAGTAATATGCATACTGGCTTTTTGGATCAGGTTTAAACTCTGAAGGACTTGGCAACAGAGCAGCAGGTACATATATGTCATCAAAAAACCCCAGCGATACTACGCCAAAAAAAGAAAAAGAAATACATTTTTGGATATAAAATTCAAAAAAAAAACTGCAACAAAGGGACAAGTCCTATCAAATTATTTTAACCCCAACAAGTGGATCTTGTATAGTGTTTGAAAGTCACATACAACGTAAACCAATCTTAGTGGATTCCTTCAGCCTTGCTGCTATGACTTCTCCCACAAATGGGCGAAACATTATCAGTCTGAATTTCACCTGTGACACAAAAACCAGAGCCATTTTTTAGCTTCCCATGTACAACATCGGATTTAAAGCAGCAATAGTCTACAAATTAAATATGATGGGATGATTCTTCAAGGCATAAAATGAACGCATTTTATAAGTTTAATGTCAACCCTACGGAGCACTGGATTACAGAAAAGTTGAAAAAACTTCTGGGATCGAATTCGGAAGACAACACTCGCTGTTGCTCCTAAAATATATTTTTTTAAACCAATCACCCCTCTTATTCATCGTGAATAATTAAAGTATTATAAAGAAATGGAAGGACAGAAACCCACTCTGTGAAATCAGACATAGAACCAGACTCCTTATTTCCTTAACCAAAACATGGGCTGCTTGGTTTGCTAACATTTTAACAAACGACAACATGATGGATGTAAACTCAGGCATTAGTGCTTAAGTTGTCAAGTATCATAGCTGTGAAGATATATGCTTAAGTTTTCGTTCCTCTCAAATTCTAACTTGTTCATCCTGTTCCACCATTCCCCAAGTACATCTCTATTTATAGATTATAGAAGGAAATAGACTTCAAAAAACGCCTCTATGTGGCGCACAATGGTTTGATTTAAGCCTCTCCCCTTAAGACGCACCTTGGTTCACTTAAGAGTCTTTGGACTAATATGCATAAACCAAAAAGTTGTCTTGACAACAAATTAAACTTGAAAACTTAAATTTAACCACCATACATAACCACCATACAAAACCACCATTAAAGTCAACCAATACCGTATAAGTGGATGCTCCGTCTCGCGGGAGAATAAAACCACCATGAATGGAGCGAATGTCATAAACAGAGATACAAAGCCCTAATTCTGGAATAACCTTGCACGGACAAAGATCAGAATAATCAATCTCAAAATTGAAAAAAATAAAAACAGAAATGATTGATGAACGGCATAAACACGGCGAGGATGAAGTTTAAAGGGAAAACCTTGTCCACGAAGAGGCCCTCAAGCTCTTCCTTGATAGCTTCCTCTAGTTTGAGACCGAGGAGGCGGGGGGGCAATCTCAATGTGTGTTCAACTTCGCTCTGATAGAACATCTCTTACTCACCCTGATCTGAATTTGAGACCAAGAGACAAAACATTTATAAGCACAACTCAGCAAGTAAGGCTGGACCTTGGATGTTTGAAGCAGCTAAAAACGAACAAATTCTACGAATAAATTCTAGCGAAAGATAAACCACCACTCACTCTCCCAAACAATTATCATATTCCACATAATCAATCATACAAGATTAGGAACCTTTTCAAACCTATACATGGGTTGTCCACGTACTTACCTCGATTAGATTAAAGAAGAAACACGAATCAATCACAGTATAAATCCTACTGCGAACCACCCTTGTTCCTGGCCTCTGGTCTGTCCGCGGTAAAGGGGAAGAACAGGGAAGGTTAGGAATTTGGGATTTGGGAAAAAACAGGGAAGGTAGATTTGGGATTACTTTTGGGCTTGTTTGTTTCTTTAAAATCCGCATAAGGTTAGGAATTTGGGGTAAGCATTATTAATATAATAATATTATATTATAAAATTCTTTTATTTATTTATTGAATTGCAACCATCTATCCTACTCCTCATGCGCTACACATAAACTCAAACTTAAAAAATTATATAATGTTAGAAACCATTTTACGAGATCTACCCAAAAACATAATTTTTTTACATAAAAAGGTCAACTTTATAAATTGTTCATATTTTTTTGTTAAATAAATATTATATGGGTGGGGTTCTAGGGACACCGAAGTACGGTGCCACTAGCGGTTCTATTATGCATTGCATAATAGCCACACATTTTGTGGGGGGCTTACGGGGGGTTGGGGTGGGGGTGCAGGGGTGGGGGTAGGGTGGGGGCTGGGTTAGGGGGGTAGGAACCGTCAATTTTGTGAACGGAGCACCGGAGGTGCCCCAAAAGTTAAAGAGGTGTCAAATTGTTGGCGACAGAAGAAGGAAGCCGGATCAAAGAAGGAAACTGAATCCCTTTGGGATTCGGTTTAGTATCTTTCCTAGTTTGCTTAGTTCTTGTTATAGTAGGAATAGAAATATGGTAGAAATAAAAGTTTACTTATATGCTTTACTCTCTTCCTATATAAAGAAGGTTAGACCTTTGTATTCACAAGCCAATTCAATATACAGAATATTTTTTCTCCCTTATTAATTTCTACATGGTATCGGAGCAAGTTTTGAATTCTTGAGACCTCAAACACGCTTCTTCCCCTGCCGGTGGGCATACACAATTCAATGCCTACCGGCGGGATATTGTAATTTTTTATTTTCTTTGATTGTTCTCCCTCACTAAAGAATATCGTGAACTCCTTCAACGAAAAACATTGTTGTCGAGGAATCCTGCCCAACCATCAATCTTGAAGAAATTGTCCGAGAAGGGTTGTTCTACAGAGACAGAAAACTCTTTCCTTAGCAGGCAATAAAAAAAAGTCGGCGTTCAGGGTGTTCGAAAAGAATGGCGTTCCCCTTGTTTGTTCGAATATGATGAAGGTTTGAAAAGAATGGCGTTCCTTTACTCGAGTGATTATTCGGCAGATTCGAAAAACTTGGCGTCTTTGTTGAAGAAAAAAACTGAAGTGTCTAGATGACACTTGGACAACGATGACAGCGGCTTCCTCAAGCTTTGTTGCTTTGTTCAATCTTTTGATGTCCAAGCTGGGTATGTTGAACTCCCATGCTCCAGCTTGAGGGGGGTGTTGGCGACAGAAGAAGGAAGCCAGATCAAAGAAGGAAACTGAATCCCTTTGGGATTCGGTTTAGTATCTTTCCTAGTTTGCTTAGTTCTTGTTATAGTAGGAATAGAGATATGGTAGAAATAAACCGGATTAATGACTAAATCCTACGATCCTTTTTGGAATGAATTTACCCCTCCTAAACCCAAACCCTTAGCCATAATTTCATTGGATTTTTCCTCACCCTAAAATAAACCCAAACAACCTGTTTTCTTTCTTTACTGCCCAGGCCGTACCCCCTTACCCCCACCCTTTCTCATCAAAAAAACACCCCCCATTAAACTCACCAAAATGACCCACAAATATTTCATCCTTTTCCCTTCAATTCTGGCCGAAACACAAGAGCCAAAACAACACATATCATCCCCATAATAAACCCCAACACATGGACCCCCTTTGTTCCCTACCCAAACAGCATACACACCCTCCATTTTAACCACCAAATAAGCCCTACAACTACACTCCAAAGCTAAGAATAAAACATCCCATTTGTTGAGATGTGTGGGACGTATAAACCCATCACAAACAACCATATCTCACCCCTCTTTACCCCATCCCTGGCCTGCCCCTTTCCACTTCACAACCACCATATTTCAACCACCATAACAAACCAAATTAGCCAATATATCTCACACCCCTTTGTCCCCTAATATGGCCGAATCACATCCCTCTCAAATCCCCATAAACATCTTCTCAAAATAAAACC